CCTGCTGATTCTTTTGAAATCAGTTTCACATACTAAATTTCTGCCTCTAGAATTTTGGGTTAAATTAATGTTACATTTCCAGATTCAGTTTGAATGTGAAAGTTATCTAATTCAATTCAACAAATATCCTAATATTTCCTAATATCCATTGAATAATTCTTAAGTTTCTGTTGTTAAATATTGATAATATTATTAGTTTATGAAGGGAGGGGTAATTCTTTTGAAAGCTGCAGCTTTCAAATTTTATCTGCATTTCCTAGATTCACTATTTCCAGAGGAGCATTAAAGACTCACGTTTAATCTTACTTTATTTTTAGTTTCACTTTAAGTCATTGTCTCCATTTTAGCTTGAATGTGAAAACTTTAAAACAAGAAAAACAAGTTTAGACCTTTTGCACATGTATTACTTTTTAGTATAAAAAACAGTCTATATTAGAATAGTGTTACCAACGGTAGTTTTTGTTTTGTTTTGTTTTTTTGCCTCAAGGCTTCCGGGATCTTAGTTCCCCAACCAGGGATTGAACCTGGGCCCTCAGCAGTGAAAGTGCGGCGTCCTAACCACTGGACTACCCAGGAATTCCCCCAACACTATTCTTTTAATATGTATTTATGTATGTTCTGTGTATGTTTGTACTGTAGGTCAATCCAAACAGCTATGTTCAACCACAACTTCCTTTTCTTGTTTCAACATTTCATACTCTTCTATTCCCTCTAGAATACTTTTAAATTCTGGGAAGGAAAAATTATTAGAGGCATGTTTGTAAGTCTTTCATATTGGGTAAAGAAATTAACTTCTCATTAGCCAAGTACTGGACTGCAGTCAGTACTGAAGTATATAGGAGGAAGAGGGGAGCAACAGTTAAAGAGCACCAGTGCTTTGACCAACTGCAAGGAGTAAACTAGGAAAAATTGTGATGCAAGAGTGATCCACTGATACAAATATTACCTAAATGGATGGTTTAGGCATGTAAAGCAATCCAGGAAGAGGGAGGCTTTCTGAGGAATGCCTGATTTTATTAAAAAGTGAGAAACTGTAACATTATCAAGCCCTAAAACAATCACTTGTGTTGTTCCTTCTCTAAAGGAAGAGTATTAATGAAAGGGACTTGATCAGCTTGGTGTCTTAATTAGAGAGAGCTAGACTACCTTAGACTTTGAGTTTAGCACTTAGCACTATCTTGGAAGGAGCGAATCTATGTTATTGACCACCTCTCAGCTGTACTTAGAGAAATACTGTGCAACACCATTGACTCGACTTTGTTTGATGTTTTGATAGTGAGCTACTAGTCCCTGGAAATGAATATCTTGTATTGTAAATTAATAAAAATAATTTTAGTTCATAAATCCTTTTCTTAGGAGAAATGGATAGTGTAATGATGAAGAGCATAAGCTTATGGAGAGTGGCAGAGTTGGGTTTGACGGTTTAATAGCTGCCTACCCTTGACCAAGTTTTTTTTTTTTTTTTTTCGGTATGTGGGCCTCTCACTGTTGTGGCCTCTCCCATTGCGGAGCACAGGCTCTGGACGCGCAGGCTCAGCGGCCATGGCTCACGGGCCCAGCCACTCCACGGCATGTGGGATCTTCCTGGACCAGGGCACGAACCCGTGTCCCCTGCATCGGCAGGTGGACTCTCAACCACTGCGCCACCAGGGAAGCCCCTTAACCAAGTTTTTTTATCTCCGGCATGCGGGATCCTCCCAGACCGGGGCACGAACCCGTGTCCCCTGCATCGGCAGGCGGACTCTCAACCACTGCGCCACCAGGGAAGCCCCTTAACCAAGTTTTTTTATCTCCTGATACTTCAGCTTCCTTATCTGCAAAATGAGGTTTAATAATAGTACCTATTTCAGAGAGTCATTGTTAGGATAGGATGAGGTAAACCAAGTATATAACATTGCACGGTGTCTAGCACACACTGAGTGTTCAATAAATGTTAGTAGTAGGAGGAGTAGCAGTAGGTTGACTAATCTTTGTCATTTGCTAAAAATTTGATATGATCCAGTGCATGGACGAAATTGAAGTTTCATCAAAGCTGGGGAAGAAACTCCGCAACGTGGTGATGACCAGCCTTAAGTGGCCACTCCTAAGATGTTTTTGTGTCTTCACTCAATGACTTCAGTAAGGGAAATTGTCACTTTTCTTCTTTGACCCAGTCCACACAGAGAAAAATAATCTGACACATATAACACAAAAACTCAGAAAAAGAAAGTTTCTTCATGAAAAGTAAATCCCCAGGAATCCCAAAATCACATGCTGAAACGTTCTTAAGGGTTCTGTGCAACGGTATTTTCCTGTGGAATAGGGAGATATGTGTTCAGGAGCAATGTGGAAATTGTCACTTTTATTACAAAATTTAGTCTTGGAGGCTAATATCTATGAGATTAGGTATACTTAAAAAAAAAAAACAGAAAAACAAATAGGGACTTCTCTGGCGGTCCAGTGGTTAGGACTCAGTCCTTCCATTGCTGGGGGCCTAGGTTCGATCCCTGGTCGGGGAGCTAAGATCCCGAAAGCAGCACGCCCACAAAAATAAAAAAATTAAAAAAAATTTTAAGCACATAAAATCTACTTCAAACCTTATGACAAATGGATACATACACTGTAACTCTCAAATAGATAATTAAGTTAAAACTGCATATGAAAGAAATGGCTTGAAATTCAGAGATAGGAGGACTTTTGTTAGATCACTAGTCTAACCACCTCATTTTTCAAATGAGACTAAGACCTAGAATTGCAGCATGATGAGTGCAGTGTTCCCAAATCCTGCTACAAAGACTGTCAGTCTGTCTGAACTTCGATGAAAATTTTTCCCATCTCAGAAAAATATAAACTATTGCCAACCACTCTTTCTTGGGAAAAACCATCCTTTATTTTGTGACTATGTCTTTCTTTTTTTTTTTTTTCTGGTAAAGTGCTCCTCCCCCCAATTTTTTTTTAAATGA